ACATAAATGATGACCGTTTATGGTTTTCCATGCAATAACATGTCTTCCGGCATGTCTGTTTACTGCTGTCACTGAAAATGGATTGGCTATGAATGACTTGGAATTCTAATCAGTTGTTAATTATCACTTTTGCTTGACAAGAAGGATGTTTTGCGTCTGTGATTGGCTGTTTTGCCGCTGGTGAAATGCAGCATTAGGGCAGTGGATGTTCTGTGTGTGAGTGAGAAGAATGTGTCTCATTAAAGTATTTCCTTGACAATCGACAATCACTCTGCAGTGCTTGATAATCACAGCTTGTAAATCTTTGTGTTTGTGTTGGTGGTGTCTAATGAATATGTTGTTTACAGCCATTTCACTTAGGGGTGTCCTCACTTTTTTGCCCGCGGTTTAGACATTAATGGCTGTGTGTTATTTTGAGGGGACAGCAGTGTTATACAAGCTGCTTGTGAGATACCATATATTATACATCACCAGCTGCAGATTAGATCCAATGTAGCTAACTTTAAGTCTGTAAGGGCTTTGGTAAAATGCTATTGAATAACATTCCTATTAACCTATTACGACTAATTATTGTGCCTTCCATAATACTAGTAGTCTGCCAAAATTAGAAAACATATGTAACTTACTGTATTTTGATAGATAGATAGATAATCTTCTTCCTCTCAGGTTGCATTTGACCACAACAAGCTCAGTCAAAGGGTTAGGGCAGGCTGTATGTAGCCTGAGAGGCGAAACCCAGAGCAAGAAGAAGCTGCTACTCCCTGAGCTTATGTTAGTTCCTATGTTTTTTTGTTTCCATGTGGAATTACAAGACACCACTCTCTTTCCAATAATCGGTAAACACAGTGCAACACCAAAAGACAAGGTTCTAACAAGTCACAACATACTGTATGTACTTATTTATCCTTTCAAATAACATATGGTTAGGTGCAAAGAAATTAGACACAGAATAGCAGAAGGAAGAAAAAAGTACATAACGTTTATCCTGAGAAAGGGCATCTCCCCGATTTTCTCCAAATAACTGTCTAACGGACAACAGGAATGTAAACTGTCAACAACAAGTGACACTAAAGTTTTTCATCCTTATATGAGCTCGTAGAATCAAGTCTAATTAAGTTCACTTAAGCATCAATAATGAGAATTAATTATTTGTCTATTTGTGTGTATTTTATTTCAGTACATTGCATTATTTAATGTAGTTGGATAGCATACGATAAGCACATAGTTGCACATCCCTATGACAATCTGTAGAATCTAGAGTGCGGATGTAATTGGCCACACGCTGATTGAAAATTATACAGACTACAGTAAGTCAGCAGGAGGCCAAAATGGAAATGTGCAAAAAGCTCTTTTAAATTAAAACTGGTCTGAAGACTCGCAATTTTCTAAATACCTTATTATAACAAGTCACATGTTCAGTTTCCATCTTTTCTCATTTCACAAGGCTTTTTTGAATCATTTCCAGCAGTGTCACACGCAAGGAAAACACAGTGAAAGTTTTTATTATCTGGACAAACAGCACAGTAAGTCTGAAGAACTGCAAGTAATCTGTGGAAAGAAACTCTGTCCACTGCACATCCCGCTGAAAGCTGATACCTTTATCTCTTGTTATCAGAAAACATTTTCATCACAGTGTCCAGGTATCTGGGACACATCTCAGCTAATGGACATATATACACCAGCATGAGTGTCACAGATGTGGCGAGGTGACACGTGGAACTCAGCCTGGGCCATTTCAGATGACCCTGCAGCTGAAATGTCTCATCCGTTCTCTGCTGAGTGAAGAGCTTCTCCTTTATCAAACCAAACATGTATTCTCCTGCTGAAAGGGGAAGAATGGCTCAGCAGCTCTTGTCCTTCAGTGCTGATGAAAACAAATGATCGTGTTGATGGTTGTTGCTGTGATTCAGTCAGTAAACCAAATGTATTAAAACAACAGAGGCCGAGTGTCAAACCAGAGAGAAGAGAAATGATCAAGAAGGAACACTGATTGGTCATTTAACTTTCTATATGTTGAGTTTGTGTTACGCTCAGAAGCAATGCGCTAACTAGATTTGATTTTTTAACCACATGGTAGGTTAAAGTTATGTTTCACTTATACCTGACATTTTTTAGACCGAGGAATAAAGGAATCCTTTATTTAGTCCACGGTGGTGCCTACATATGTCTTGTTTTGTCAGTCAACAGATCTTCAGTTTACAGAGACCTAAAACAGAGAAAAGGAGCAGAATCCTCACATTGGAAAAGCTGAGACAGGGTAATGTTTGGCATTTCATCACTCATTGCAGTTCTACAACCTGTTCCTCTCTTGGTATATGATAAATATCGGGCATAGCATTAGTTAAGGAAGGCACAAAGTTTATTTTGTGCTTCCTTCCTCCTCCCATCAGCTGATATCAGACGTTTTCAAGCTCAGCTGATTCCTATATATGTCAGAGATCGCACGCCTCTGGAGCAGCTGGGGGTTAAGTTGTTGTGTAGTGAAAGCTTCCTCTTAATGACCAGAACGGGTGTCGTTCAAACTCAACGTTTATTCTCCACGGCTGCATTTTACAGACGAGGGGAAAAACAACTGCTGCACGCGAGACACACTTTTTTTTTTTTTTTCTGCTGAAGCTAGCAACAAAACATAGAGCAGCTACTTCCTTGGAACTTCAAAATTAAAGCTTCCCTGTCAAAATAAAAGCATCTCAGTCTATCGCTTGAAACAAAGCATTGTCTCAATGTATTCTCCATTTTAACAATGAATAATTAGCATTACCAGACCTTTTACGATGGGTCACATGTATGGTAACCACCATAACCTTTAACACTGTAAATAGTCTTTTGCATTGTTTTATGTACAGCTTAAACTGATTTACTTAATTATTCAAATCAACAACACAAGTGTCTTGCTCAGGGACATTGGTGTATGTGTCACAATGGGGAATTAAACCTGGGTCTCTCACACCAAAGGCATGTGTCTTATCCACTGCTCCATCACCACCCTCTCCATACAAGGCGCCTTATTTAAGTTGCTTTAGCCTGCCTGCCCGTGCTGCTTCATCTGCAAGCCGCTTTGCAACCCGTCACCACCCCAGCTCCTCCTTTCCGGCTGTGTCTAATCAATGTCATTTCTGTTGTCACAGTGGAAGTGAACAGTCCTTTAAACAAGAATAAATGGTTGTATCAAGTTCAGCATCACTGAGTCACCTCAGAGCAATCAAATCCCTGAGCGATTTGACAGTACTATACGTTTATGTTGTGGCCGTCAGTTTCAGTAAGTTTCTAAGAAATCGTGTTTTTGGTTTTTTTTGCCCCCCATCAGTTTGGCTTTGATAGAATGGACCCTTTTATCAAGAAGAGGCCTGTCAGAGGTGTCAGAACTGAAGCAAATTCAGAGCACTTTGTTGTTGTTTGGGAACAAAACGCTGCAACATAGTTCCTGAACTCAATTGAACAGATAACCAGAAAGCAGCATTTCTTCAAAGTGTAATCTTTAGCCTCAGCTTGCCGCTAGCAACACACAGAGTAGAATTTGAAGCTCTGTGATTGGATGTTTTATTACTGTAATACTTCTTGGGGAGTCGTATTTGACTTCCTTTTGACTTTTTTTCAAAGAACCAGATCACTTCTAATACAGTTGCTCATATTGACCATATTTATCATCCCTCCAGGATGTGGAACTGCTCCAACTGCCTCTCACAACGAACATCTGTGCAGAAAATGAACAGGACATTTACTTACGGAGCCATGGTCGCACTGTGCAGTTGTTTTCCATTTGGAGTTTTTAGTCTGAAATGTCGCAACACTGCCGTTTCATTTCAAGTGTCTTGAACCAGTTCTAGTTGCCCTTGATTTTAACCTTCTTGTATAACTGTGACCTGGATGACTGAGAACCTTTACAGAGAGCTTTCATTTCACTTTTCACTCTTTAAAGGTTCAGTGTGTAATATTTAGGAGGATCTACTGACAGAAATGCAATAAAATATCCATAACTACATAATGAACCGTTATGTTTTTATTACCTTAGACTGAGCCATTTCTGTCTACGTACACCGCAGGTCCCCTTACGTGGATGTCGCCATGTTGCGCCGCCGTGATTCTACAGTAGCCCAAACGGACTGATTGACTTTGATTTGTGCAAAATCATGTGTTGCATATACATATTTTGCAAGCATGTCGTGTAATCTGGTTGTAACAGTTAGATTGCTGTCCATGCAGAGTGAACTAGATGTCTTCGTGTTGTTCTTCTGCTCAGATAATGTTAATCCAACACATCTTTGTAGCAGCGTCCGTGTTGATTCCACGTTCTGACTTAAGAGCACATGAAAACACACTGAAGTCGAAGAATGACTTCACAACGCAGGAAATGGGACCATCCGAGGCACACGCTGAACTGCTGGTTGCAATGCTAAATGATATTTCTTGTTGATATTTAATTAATTAATGATTTTCAATCCTCGAGTTTCTGCACACTAACCTCTAATAAAGGAAACCAAGTGTAGTTTAAGATGCAAATGATTAGATATTCAGGTAATTTGAAATGTCTTAATTTTATTCAAGTCAGTCACGAGAGCATGGCCACAAGCAGTGACCGATGAGACGTTATACGTTTCATTTGCTGGTCCATAAATCATGTCCATGCCTCATCTTATTAGAGTACAGTCACCTGGCCTGCTACATTTTTGGGAGTCGGGCCTTTGGTCATATACAGTTGCTTGCATGTGCAGTTTTTTTACTCCCATACTATATAACCTTAATGAAGCAAAACCTTTTTGTGAAGATGCAGTCACATTAATTCCTGTGGGAGTTTGCTGTAGCAGACTGTGCAGGCTGCAAGCACAGAATGGATGAGGATAAACTAACAATCTAACAAGCACCATCTCTGGGGGTTTCTAATGCGACAAAAGGTGTCTAATGGGAGCAAGGCAAATTCTTAAATTTTAATGGCTGCTCTCTCTAATGAACACTTTGAGTTCGTGTGAGTCTGACCTTTTTCCCCTCCTTGTCTGTCCCAGCAGAATCCGCCGGGCCTGCTGACTATGCCCCGGAGCCCCACTTCTAGTGAGGATGAGATGGCCCAGAGCTTTTCCGACTACTCCGACGACTGTGCCTCCGACAGCTCCCGCGAAGAGACCATTTACGAGACCATAAAGGCCACCGCCGAGCCACCTCAGAACCACATGGACGACATTCACATAAACACGCTGGTCATCCGTGTCCTCATCCCCGACCTGCAGCAGACGGTAATTATCTGTGAACGATGAGGACAGATATGTGGAGGCGATATGAAATATGAACTAGATTTGTTTTTCAATATTGACATTTGAGTATTGATTTTCCAGCCTCGTTGTTGAGATCCACTGGAGAATTAATGACTGTGTATTTGACACCTTATAGCCTTATTTACAGTCAAAGAGCTTTTATTAGAAGCTGGTACACAGTAAATTCAAGCGCAACACAGCATTGTTGGCTTTATTAGAGCTGCTGGAGAGCCACTCATACAGCAGGGGCCTCTGCAGCATTTCAGCTGTGGGTTATTATTATGTTCAGCATGCATTAAACAAACAGGTATATCTAAAAAATGTCCAAAAAGTGGAATGTGAGTGCAAACAAACTTTTCCAGATGTTAAAGGTTAATACAATGACCCACATATGATCCCATATACTCTCCACTCAACTACAACAAGGGTTACATAGTGACGCAGACAGGTCACTGAAGAAAAGGCTACAACTGAGGTGTTTACAGGCAGTTCAGGACCAGTGTGTTCTGTGGGAGATGGTAGCTCCCTTTGGGGTGGCCTATTACCTGCACATAAAAGATGTATAACACAACAAAAAAGCATTATATGACCTCTATAATTTAATCTTAAAGATGTATTTTATGTTGTAACATGTCCTTATCACATCCATCTATGTACACAGATTAATCATATGCATGCTTTCAGAGAAATCCTGCATATGAATGAGCTGCCTGTGGTTTTTAAATAGTGAAATATTTCTGTAACAAGCCTAATTTCCGTTTTGACGTAAATCCTTTGACTTAAATGAGCTCTGACGAACAAGATTCACGTCGTATTTTCTGTAATAACATGCGGTGGTGTTTGAATGTTGAGTGGGCAGGTAGCTGGTTGAGCGTAGGTGGGGTGTGTGATTTTAAAGTGGGGGTTGTATTAATGATGAACTGATGAATAATATAAGATGGGGCCCACTCTATCGATCATTAGAATATATCAAGATTAGCGCTGGCCTTCAGAACACTAAAGCTGGCTGTGTAGTGGAACATTATGGTGCAGTTAGCACAAGACAGGATAAAGATGTGGAAGCCCAGATGAAAAAGGAAGTGACTGATGAAACACGTTATAATTGTCCCGCAGTTTTCCATTAATATGTAAATGAGTGGCAGGTAGATTAATAACAGAAAGCAAAGAATGCATAATGAATGTTATTCTTAGGTCCAGACCTCATACATACACAAAATGCATCACTGGAAAACTACCGTTTTAGTTTGCCCACATATTATGAAATACACTAGGTGAACTCGCTGCAGTAAATCTGCAGTATTCCTGAACTGAAAGCAAAAGTTTGACATTTTGGGAAATACACTTTCACTGTCTGGTGAGGGGTTATACGAGAAGACAAATCCACTCTTATATGGCTCATCTAAAAAGCTCGATCCAGCAGCCCATTAGCCCGATGAAACAAGGGAAAACAGTTCAATGGAAAGAAAATCTGCCTAGCAGCACCTCTAATTAACATGTTCCAGCATGCTACATCTGAGTCTCAGAATACGGCCGTACAGGTCGCCTGTGCACGCAGCGGATCACAAGCCATATTTACGTTTATTGTTTGCAGCATCCTCTAGAGGCCGAAGTAGTTAAGACGAGGTGAGGTGGTGCACGTGCCAGTGGGTGCTCTCACCTCATTTTCACTTCACTTAGCTGCATTTTAAGACACATGAATAGCTCCGAGTTTGCAGGAAAAAATAACGGAGCACAGCTACGCATCATAATTTGCCAAACACACACTAATGACAGCCGCCTCAGACAAACTAAATGAAAGTATTACTAAATGAAACTCTTGAATTATCCAAAGCATTAACCATATTTCCTCTACGGCTCTAACATAGTATAAAGAGTAAAAAGAAAAAGTCTGCTTAGGAAGGAGCACTGGGTGGATGGACTGATCTAACACTGATCCATGAGGCTGCTGTTCGTGTCCCTGTGAAGACTTATATACATACATAAGTTAAGTCACATCACATACTAACATAACCGACTTCTTTTCACCCAAACCATGACCTTTTCCTAAACCTACCCATGTAGTTTTGGTGCCTAAATCTAACCAAGCTGCGACAGTTTCACAATGTTAAACAGTTTATCATTCTTTCCGTGTCGTGAGTCAGTGCCAAACAACCTATTCTGCCATTTAGGTGTAAGGACATGCTGAGCAAAGTGGGAGGGCTTGCTATTTTTTTCCTCCCTTTATTCCCATTTCACTTTTTTCTTTGAGCAACATGTTTCAGCTTTGTATCTGAGCTCAAGCCTTATAGCCTCACTGAACTAACGACTAAAGTAGAAAACAAGCAAGCTAGATGACGTGTGTAGGTTAACAAGAAAACCAAAATCAATTTAACATCCGACTTCTTCTGCTTTATTTTTCTGCTTTTTAAACCCTGTGTCATGCCCAAAACTTGTTTGTGGATAACATCACAGCTTTGACAGTGGAATCTGTGAATCTAGTATTCATTTTTTTTTCAATTCACAGGAATTTTGAATGTTTAATTTAAAAAAGCAGCCCAATGCATTCACACATGCGGCACACTGTTGCTTTTAATGAAGCCCCAGGTGTGAGTACAATATAAAAGGTTGTTCCTCTGAATTAACTGTAGCTTCTGTGGGCATGTTCTCCACCGCATTGTGAACTGTAGCTGTCAGTGGTATTTGCTTTACTGTCATTCCCAGAAAAGCTTTGGATATAAAGGTTTATCATCAAAGACTAACTGTAGCTGCCAGAGTCTGTACAGTAGTTTCATCTTGGGCCGATGCAGCTTTGTACTGGAGCTCTTCATTTGATGTGCGTGTCCTAGGGGAACCGTGCCAGATAGCTTTACACTGGATGTCATTGACAGTACAGTGAGTTGTAGCATTTTCTCATCGTGAACATCTGAACAAAACAGAAGGGCAGAAGAAGAAAGACAGGGAAACAGGAAGTTGGCAAAGCTCTGCCTTCTGCAGCCACCCGATGCCCTTCTCTCCTGAGTTCCCCTTCTTCGTTCTGACTCTCCCTCCCATTTTGTCCAGTTTGATTTGATAAACTCATGGCTTCGGCGCACTTTCTAGCCGCTTTGCAAAGCACTTTGTAACTTCCCGAATGGCGGATCTTAACAGAATAAAGCAAAGGCAGGGTTGGATCCTGGGGCTACGGTGTTGATCCAGAGATGAACCCGTGACCCTTTGATGTAATTAGCACAGTGGTTATAACTCCAGCACAAAAGGTGTGTGTGTTCACATGTGCACTAAGCTCTCTCACATGTATGCACTCATGCTCCTGATTTGACATTCATCACTGAGCACTCAGTGGTGCCACTTGATCCGCTTGGAAATCAAACTCGGTTGAATAAATCAAACTCTGTTGAGTAATTCAAATGTACACAGCCGGTGCACGTGAGCCCGGCCTATTCTATATTTCTGTAACTTTATCATCAGGGATCATGATGAAGATGTATGATTGATGCATGAATGTGAATCATCACTTATTCACTTTAATAAAGACATGTCCTCACGATCGAAGCGTGGCGGTGCGGTATCGTAACCTTCACTCACTTAAATCAAAGATCTCTGAGTCTCGCTCCGTCTGCGGGCTGAATCGCCGTGGTTCACGTAAAGCACCAGGTGACTTGCTGGAAAAGCTTTTGACTGACCGCATCTGCGTGTGAGAGGGGGTTTTCTGCTGTTAATGCTGACAGCAAGGCTCCTTTCTGGGGATTTTAATCCATCCCCTAACACCCTTTATTAACCTCCCTGCCCTCCTCCCGTTAAAAAAAGTGAGCTCCCCTGAAAGCCATTGTAAAGTTCTCACACTGGTTGGATGAGAAGATAAATACCACTCTCTTGTCGTGCTGGAGCTGGAGCCAGACGGCGATTAGCATAGCTTAGCATAAAGACTGGAAGCAGGGGGAAGCAGCTAGCCTGACTGTCCTCAGTTTAAAAAATAAACTATTATAAGAACAGTTGTGTTGTAACTATTTCTTGGCCTAAACTAGATGTCTGTAAACATTCTCAGTCATCCAGGTCGTAAATTAAGGGGTCAACTGGACTTGTTAATTAAAGCAAGCTTTAAAGGTGTTTTGAGGGAACGTTTGACAGAGCCAGACTGGCTGTTTCCTCCTGCTTCCAGTCTTTATTGTAAGCTAAGGTAACCACCTCCTGGCTCCAGCTCCGAATGCATTGACTTGAAAGTGGTTATAATCATCTCATCTAACTTTTGAAGGAATGCGAGAGAAAGCGAACAAGCATGTTTCACACAATGTCCAAATACTCCATTGTTATAATGAGGCCTGGTACAACAGCTGTAACATTTGCCCTCTCTTCAACACAAATACCAACACTACAAATCACAGAAAAAGACAGAACATTTCCTCTTTCCCACATGCTTTTCTGCGTCTTTGCTTCTTCTACAATCTTTAAATTGTCCTCTTCAAATAAGCCTTTTATCTCACTGTATTTCAGCCGTCTCCCGTCCTAGCACACCGCTCTTGCATCCAGATGGAGACCCATCTTTTCAGCGCTTATCTTGCTAAAGATTCAAAGATTGGACACAATGGCGGACTTGAGGTTAGACAAGCAAGCTACTTTTCCAAAGATTGTTGCTTTGAATTGTTGGACCCCGGTTTGAGAACACTGAAAAGATTATGCGCTTTCAGTAACGCTACATGGTCATATGCGAAGCCACAGCAGCCAATCGAACCGAGTTCAACCTTCATCAAGTCAGACAGCAGCAGCAAGTAGCCAGGTGCGTTCACAAGAGTGATCGCTCCCCAGTGCCCTGTACACATCGTTTAAGTTAAACTTGTGTTAAGGGCTGAAGAGGCAGCAATAATGGGAGCAGATGGAAATTTGCCACTGTAACAAACCAGCAGAAGGAAAAAAGACCATATCAGTCCAAACAGCCTGCCAGATGCCATCTGTTTCTGTACTGTACCTTCAACCCTTCATCTTGCCATCCCTTCCTCGCCTCTCCTCAACCCACTCAACGCCAGGCGAGAGGATTATGGTGAAGCAGAGTTCACAGACTGCTCATCCCTTTAGCCTTTATCACAGACACAGGGCTGCTATCGCCGGCTGAGCAGCACATCCAGCTGTAAACACTCGCAGACACTTCCTGAATGCCACGGCACAGTGCCCATAATCCTCTCTGATTCAGGCGAGGCCAGAAGTCCTGCATTGTTTGTTTGTTCCATTGTTTGTTTGTTTGTTTTTCACTCCAGGGATGCTGAAACTTGGAAAGACCAGGGGGCAGAGGGGTCATGTCAGTTACATCCTCAGCGGGCGAATTGGCCCTGTTTAACAAATAGCATGGCTACAATACACAATCAACAAGCTTGGCAGTGCTGCGTGGCGGTCGGGGGTTATTTGTAGTAACTGGGGCAGGGTTTGTGTAATTAAAGCACCAATTTCGATGGGTCTAAACTATTTTGATTGTGCACCATTGTTTTGTGATTGTATTCAAATCCTCTTATCACTCTTGCGTCCCAGCCTATTAGCATCTGTCAATCAAAAGTTGACAAGTTAAAAGTCTGTCACAAGTTGATAACATTACATGCTTTTATTTAAAAGATTAATTCTTCATTTGTGTTGATTGCTGTGACTGCCAGCCAGCACTCCAGTCATCACTTTGTAATCAGTGTCTCTTTTCCACTCCCCCCCCCAAAACCCAACCAGAAATGCATGCGGTTCAACCCGGATGCGACGGTCTGGGTTGCCAAGCAGCGGATCCTGTGTACCCTTAATCAGAGCCTGAAAGACGTGCTCAACTATGGGCTTTTCCAGCCAGCTAGCAACGGGAGGGACGGCAAGTTCCTGGATGAAGAGCGCGTCCTTCGAGAGTACCCCCAGCCAATCAGCAAGGGTGTCCCGTCTTTGGAGGTAAACTGTTGGCCAGTTGGATCATTACTCCAGTTAGTAGGGATGGAATCTAAATGATTGAAGAATTAATATTTGTCATTAGTCAGGACTCAAAGTACAGTGTCTCAACGTTAGAGCTGGAAAAAGGCTTTCAGTATCAGTCCATCAAATTAACTTCAAAACTCTTCAATTGAAGATTTAGAGTCTCAACTATGATGAAGGATTTTCTGAGATGCAAACAGAAAATCTGTTTAAATAAATAAAATTATTCAAAAATCTTGTATGAATCTGTGTACATCCTGCAGTGTGAAATATTTGCGTCTTGGGTCAGTGACATTCTTCAGTTTCAGTCTTTCCTCTTGAGCGTGCGTAGTGGCACCATGTCTTTCTGTATTGAGACTATTAAATTAGGTTTGAAAAAGCAGATACAGATGTTACGCTTTGAGGTTGGGGTGTTTCTCTAAGTGCATCGCTGCATGTTTCAGGGCATGGGTCTAACTGCTGATGTTTTAGATTGTATGCACCTTCACTCCGTCTGCTTTATTGGATGGTGATGCATCAGGGGACAAACCAACTCAGGGTCCAGACAGAAAGACACGGGAGACCAGCACTGCTGCTCTTTCTCACATGGGGGTAGGCTACTTGGAGTCGAACATGAAACACATTTGTGATGTATTTTATTAACTCTGCCAAACGTCTTTGCCAACAAAATTGGAAAATATCACAAAAGTGTGAATGTTAACTCTTGACCTTGAAAATAGTAGTTTGTAGTTTAGTAGTTTCTCTCTGTCTTCATCAGTGGATTGAGTTTGCTGACTTGTAATGAGCTGTATAGTATAGTGAGCTGAACTACTGTTTTTAAATTGACAAAAGAAAATTCATCATGAGGTCCACTTACTGACTGAGAAACTCAGTTTGCTCAGGAAGATTTTGCTGAAAGCTGCAAAAACATCAACACGTGATGGGATTTTTTTTTTCAAACTACTATTTTCAAGGTCAAGCGTTAACGTTCACACTTATGTTTGTGATAGTTTCCAATTTTGTTGGCAAATACGTTTGGCAGAGTTAATAAAATACATCACAAATGTGTTTCATGTCCGATGTGAGAAAGAGCAGCATGTCTTTCTGTCTGTCTTGGTAAATCAGTGGTGTGTTTAGTTTAGCTAACTCAGGCAGCCTTGTTGTTCCCATTTTCGTTCCTGCCATACGCCTGGAAAGAAATACGTTTGTTTTTGTGATGGGATTGTCTGTTAGGGTACAGTGTAACAGCCACACTGTACACTGTGAGGGTAAAGTAACGTTCAAGTAAATTATAAATTAAATGGATTACCTCAAATATTAATATTGATATAATATTAGTTAAATGTTATATTAATATTGACAACGAAAATGTTATTACTTCTCTATATTAAACAATCCCATGCTTCACAAAAAGATGATGTAATTTCATATTTCACACAGCCTGCCAGTAAACCAGATACCATGAAAGTAATGAAATGTGCCATCAATAAAGAGGACACATCTTAGGCTTGATCCCCTAGCGATCCTCTTTCCGGAGGAACAATTGCTTTCACGATGCACCCGGAGGTGTCAAGTAAACAACTCTGAGCGTTTTGAGGGAAAGGTTATCAGTTATTGGAACAGAGCTTTAACAGAAGCCTTGTTGGACCCATTTGTGTTTTTAATAATTTGTCTTTCACTCAACAGTTCCGTTACAAGAGCAGAGTCTACAGGCAGCCCAATGTGGACGAGAAACAGATTGCCAAGCTTCATACAAAGGTGAGATTAACTGAATCACTGTTTTGTTACCGGTCAGCGATAGATGCTGCCTTTCTCCCGCTCCACTCTTCTTCCACTCTGTTTTGAAATTACGGGAAACATTGCCCGCCAGGAGACAAACTGAAGAGTTGGAATGAGCAGCTGAACAGACAAAGAGATTCAAGAAAAAGATGTCACAGTACCGCCCACCTCAGTCTGACTGTCGACTGGCCTCTGGAAAGTGCAGTGTGAAAACACCACAGTAATGACTGTTTCACGCCAAAGGTGTTGCCAAAATAAAATTTTTTAAAGGAAAGGCCTTTCACAGATTGCATTATCTATTTAGCAGCTTCACTGGTTGATTAGAGTAAGAGAATGTTTGTCGCTGTTTGGTTTAATTCTTGGCAGCTTGAACTGTGTGACACGGGAACGGTGGTGAAAAACACTCCGCTAGCACACAGTGGATCTTACCTGTCAGTCTGGGCTTATTTGGAGCTGTGATGACAAAGGGAAACCTGTAAGTCTGTATGCTGCTCAGTAGGAGCGTCTAGCCTCCTGCCAGCCCCAACCTCTCCATCTCTACCCTGCCGCATGAAGTAAAGTAAATAGAAGATTTTTAGTCTTTTCATCATTGCGTAAGGCTAGCTCTGGGCTCTGTCCCATAGCTACTGTAATCCTGTAGTGCAGCCAAAGCATAAGTGTCTCTGGCAGCTCTCTGTTAGAGGCACACTGGGAAACTGTCTGACAGCTGCTCTAATTCTACATCTGAATGCAGAAAAGGAGGACAGAAGATGGAAAGGAAGGAGAAGGAAAAATAAAACATGCAAAAAAGAAAAGCCTCTTTTCTAAATGTGGAGCATGCTGTTGAGAACACTCAAACACGTTTACATTCTTTGCAAAGTCATTAGTCAGAACATGTGGCTCCTCTATAATTGACATTTGAGTTGATTCCTCATTTCTTGGCCTGACCCGACTTTTTGGAATAATCCTTTTTGCCATGCAGTCTGGTACTCTGTGGTTGGCTGGAACTCACACTGAGACAGCCAATCAACTGCCAGCCTGCCAACCTGTTTCAGCAGAGAGAGAGAGAGAGAGAGAGAGAGAGAGAGAGAGAGAGAGAGCACCATCCTCCAGACTCTGATTCACTAGGCCCACAGACACACAAACAGACACACATCAGCTACATTAAATAAAACATTGCATGAAAACACAGGGCCACGTATGTGAACCTTTGACATTTCCAGATATTGAACTGGCAGTGACTCATCATGGTTAGTATCTAAACAGCATCTCTCCATATCTGTGCTCAAACTTGTTTGGTTTAGCTAAAGTTAATGAAAAATATTTTTGATTTCATTGAACTGTCTGTATCACAAAATGATCTTCATACGCAGAGAATTTAGCTTGGAACACATTAAATATTTAGTTATTGAAATCTAATAACAGTGTTGGTGTTGGTGACACTGATAGAAAAGCAATTAAAGTCTTTAAAAAGTACATTTCCGAGCAGATTCACAGGATCAGGATCTGGGGCGGTTCGGGGATTTTAAATGGATTGGTCTGAGCTATAAAAAGATCCAGATCCATTGTCAATTCTTTTTCTTTGTTTTGTGTGGGAACACCAGCTGTTAAACGCTACACACAGTGTGCACAGTGTAGCTGTGTAATGTTAGTCTGATCTTCAGACTGAATGACTACCGTTTTTTGTTGTTATCATGTTCATGTTAGCTTTTTTAATTTCAGGTGTTCTTTTCAAAGTTCTTTTCTCAAGACGTTTTTAGGCAACCAAAATGTTTCAGTTAGCTGTCATGAAGAGAACACAACGTGAAAGGGTCAAAGCTCTTAGATGAAAACACAGACAGCACCCAAAAACAAGTTCACGGCAAGTTAAACAGTGCAGCGGATATGAATCACCTCTATCCTGATTGACAGTTCACCAGAAACTTGTCAATCAGCTTGTAGCCCCGCCCTAAAGCCTCCCCTGCTTCCTGGTCTCTGTTCCTCTAAACGGGACCATAATTTACTAAATGAACATCATGCTGTGTTGAAGAAGACTTGAAACTAGCGACTGAGACCAGAAACTCATCAGGAAAGTGTTTACTGAGGTGAATCTCGTGTGGGAAATGGGGTCAGTTTGTCATAGACTCCAGTGCAACCTGCAGAGTCGCCCCCTGCTGCCCATTAGAGAGAATGCATCTCAGGTTTCAAGGTTCTTCCGCATTAGCTACACTTTTCATACCCGGAGGTTACCGCTCCGCATATTCGCGCCTTTTCACTCCTCCTCATGTCTTCTTGTGCCTTTTATTCCAAGTTTATTCTTTTATTGCTACCGATTGTCTTTGCCTTCTGCTATCTCATTCTCCTCTCCTTCGGGGAGCTGCTCTCTTATCTATTTTTATCACACGGCCTGGAAAGAAAGCAGACAGGAACAGAAAGGAGCAGCCATTCCAGTGTCGCCACACTCTTAATCCTGCCATCTCCCTTCCTGTGCTTCCTGCTTTCAGTAGCCTATTATTTCACCTTTATATTCTTATAACAGTGAGTTTCCCTCAGTTTCACTCTGTATTCCTAAACGCTTCCACTTTTCACCCTCAGTTATGCTTGACCCTCTACACCTTTCTCTATCTCAACTTCTATTTCAGTCTTTTTACAGCTCTGAAACCTCCCTCCTGTCTTTTTCTCTCACACCCACCACCATTTGTTCTTTCTTCTCACTGTAATGGCTCTTTCTCTTCTCTGGTTGCGCAGGCCAATCTGAGGAAGTTCATGGACCTCATCCAGCATTATCAGGTGGACAAAGTGTCTAAGTTGTTGGAGAGAGGCTTCGATCCCAACTACCATGACAGTGAGACTGGAGGTAAGGCTGCGCCCTGCTTACAAGCTCGAACACAGAACACAGACTTAAAACTATATCTAAGAAACTTATGAGTTCCAAAAAATAAAGAGGGCTGTTTTTCAATGTGAGTTTGTATTTGTGCATTTGTGTTCTGACACCAGGGTATTCTACAAAACCGGTATTTGCTTCAGTTACCGGTCCTAGCAAAGGACTCGCAGTGTGGCCACAGAGGCATTGTTGACTTTCAGTATAGATTCAGGTATGGAATTAATTATGCAGTGTGTAGGTTACCAAGAGAGAGACATGTGGGTGTCATTTCCAGAGCTGAGGCAGCAATGAGTTGTTCAAATCTCCCCTTAAAGGTTCTAAAGGTCAAGCATCTGAAACAGACACATAGTGAACTCAAATGTGTAAATATGTTTTGTTTAAGAGAAACCAAATCTGAATAGACCTGAGGACAACTGGTCCAGAAAAATCACAAAAAGCTTACTTTCTCTCTTTACACTTGTGGTGGCCATGCGGGTACTTAAGTTTAGGTTTTGAGAAATCTGCCTCTGAAACTTATTCTGACACCAAAACAATGAGCGCTATTTAGTTTGTTAGTCTTTTTTTAGAGGAAATAAAGGTCAGTGGATTAATTGGATTAACCGACAAATGCGCGGTGCATTTGTTGAATTGGGGTGGCGGCAGCAGTAGTTTGAGAGAGACAGATATGTAAAAACCTGGGCAAATAAAATGACACAAAAATGGCCCGTGGTTAGCTCAGCTGGTAGAGTGTGCCTCATGTACAAGGCTGAGTCCTTTCTGTCAACCCGTTCTCCCTCCCGGACCCGTCACATGTGGACGCATGGCGTCAGTTTGTAACACACTGGGGGATCCCTGTAGCGTCATAGTTCAGGGCAGTGGTGGGGGGGAGCCCTGTAGCGTCAGGTATATGATATTTAACAGAAAAGACTGAGTGAGGAGGCGGTTGGGGTGGATGGGGGGCCAGAACCCGGACTTTGAACCAGGAGACTGGTGTTTGTGTCCCGTGTGGAACAAAAAGTCATCATTTAAATATTTTTATTGAAGTTATGCGAGTTATATAAATTGCGTAAGTTCCTCAAATGATGTAAGTTAACTTACGTGTTAAGTGACGTACGGAGTTATTTTAACCCAAACCAGGATCTTTTCCGAACCTTAACCAAGTAGTTTACCAAACTAAACCGAACCAAACTGCAACGTTTCACAACTTGAAAAATGTGCCATTTCAAAATGCTAGCGTTTGATTTTGAAAGTCTATCCGGACGTTGCATATTTATTGTTGCTAACTTTACCAAGTATATCCAGCTGCAGCCGGACCCTTCTCAACTTTACTGGGCATTGCACATTTGTTGTTGCTAAGTGTTGCTTAAAAGTCTAAAAACTACGCGAAAGGGGTACCCAGGGCGTTCAAAAGCAGCGCTCCCTCATGTCCTGCCTCTCTCTCATGTCCTGCCTCTCTCCACCTGTCTTATCAGAAATAAAGGCAAAAAGCTCAAAAAAGTGTCACACAAATGTAGAATTGTGTCCTTTGGGTGAATGAAGCTTCAAGACACCATGGGATGAGGTTAGGGTACAATAGTAAACAGTACTATGAGAGAGGTAGCGGTTTGGCCTTGGTGCCAAGTGTAAAAACGCTGTTAAATAAACACTCACACTATACCATAAGTTCAGAAAGGAAGCAAGCGGCCAGCCACTGGAGTGGGTTACGTTGCCCTCTGTGACGGATTTTGTTTGTGTTGAGTATCTTCCAGTATAAACATTTGAGTTGTGAACAGGTATTCCTGAGAGGAATGTGTGTGTTCAGTCAGGCTGCTGCGTCCTGAGTAAATAGTCATTGTAGCTCTATGTTGTTACACTCAACCAAACTTGGGGGGGGGGGGGGGGGGCATCCAGTGCCCAGAGTAATAAGCTGTGTCCTAATGTGTTCTCAGCACAGCTCACAAACGTTCCATAAAGACAAAGTGAGCAGATGTTTCATGTGACGCCAAGATAGGATAACGGTTAAAATATAACCCCTCGTAGGCCCACTTGGAGGCTGAGAGTCCTGTCTGGGGAGACTACATCCTGGCAAGCATAATCACGTATTATCTCCAAACATGCACATCTACTCAGTTGTGCACTTGACTTAATTTGCTGTGGAGCCTGCTCGTGCGATCAACATCAGATATTGAAATCCATCAAGAGGGTTAGGTGTGTCAATAACAGTAGCCTCAACAGGCCGGAACAGACTGCACTCCCAAAAACATGTTGAGTTTAGAGGAAGGGATGCAGCGCCCTCCGGTCAAAGGAGTTCATGCATGTTTTCTGTGGTTGTCCAAAGGCATTCTGGATAATAATGGGACAACAAAGTGAAGTGGAGGGCGGCAGGTGAGGGCAGATTTATTAACTGTAGGTGAAGGAAATTGTAAAAATATAAAATCTTTTTTAATGTTAGAACAGTTTCTCATTGCATTTAGATGATGGCTGGAAAATAAAAACATCTAGATAAACATGAGCAGTAAGATGATAAGAAACAAATTGCCACATTATATTCTGCTTGCTCATCCCTCCCATGGGCTCCTAATCATCACATTGGCTTTTGGATGAGTATCGTGCTCAATGGGAATGGGAGTCAGCGATCCATATGATTGACAGGAAACTCTCAAGGCCATGTAGTTAAAACACAGCAGGAGGACAATCAGGGAGTCAGTTTAAGAGCTGTGCTTCTGGGGGGCACTGAGAACCACACAAGGTTCAGCTGCACTGACACACCGCCAGTGAGGAGTTCTGAGAGCACTCTGTGAGATAGAAAACCTCTTCCATCTTTAAAAAGAACAACAGAAATCATCCTTTCTGAAGAGGGTCGCTGTTGTCCTTGCTGTGTAGGGAGAAGGGATTTCCTTACACGGATTTCAAAATAACTCTCAGCTATCATCTAAAGCACCTTGTATTTAAAAGCTCATTACAAACACCGGAGTATTAAGGGTAGCAATTATGTTTATTTACGACAACTTAATGAATATGTCAAGGGTATCTCAGCAGTGCAGGTGCTCTTAACACAGCCAGTATTGAGTGGACGAGAGAAACAATGGTCTGTTGGGGAAAATAGAGGTGGTGCTGAGAGGAGAAAGGGTTATTAAGCAGAGAATTGAGGTTTTCTTAATGGGCTTTGAGAGCTGTTGTTAAATGAATGCCTTTATTGCTGATGGGGAGAGTTGTCTCTGGGGGTAAGGACTCTTGTTACTCAGCCTTTACTAGCTATTGGTTTCAGATGTCCAGCAAAAGTGATTAAGAAAAGAAAATACAAAGACTCTTCTTCTTCCTGCTGCTCATGTCTGCACACAGTCGGAGAAATGAAGGCTCATTTTCATCCCTTCAGAGGAAGCCACTTGCTGCCATCCGTACTTGTACAATGTGAGAAAAAACTGTCACATAACTTTGAAAACTGCCCAAGATATCATGACAATCATGGAGATCTCATTTCCTTTGGTAAATGTTCTGTTTTACCCCCGTTTGCTCTGTTTTCTGTTGGTTTGACATTTGTACAAAAATTGTCAATATGAAGATACCCATTTAATACATCATGCAAAAACCGGTGGCAGAATGCAAGAACAAGAAGCAAGACAGAAACAAAAATCCACTAAATTCACATTTTATTTAAACACTTCACGTCATGCTGAGCTCATCAGATAAAATGTTCAACGTTTCAGACATGCTGCATTGATCACATAGCAACAGCTTACTTAAAACCAGAGTGTTGGACTTTTAAATAGAAATGAACGTCCGGTACATTCAAGGCCTTACCAAACAATAAGCTGGTAAAAAATCAATGTCATGCAGCTGTAAAGTAACAAAAACATGACTTATTCCAGTTGAGTAAGGCCTTTTCCATTTAAATCAAAGATGGCACAGGACTGTTTATTTGCTGAGCCACTGGGGAGCTTCCAGTTCTCTATGTATATAGTTTATATAGCCCAATATCACAAAGCACATTTTGCCCCATTTTTAAATTACGCACTAATTTTAAGTGTGTTCACACTGGAAAAATGAGTAAAGTAAGTAGAATTAAACAAGCTAGCACAATGGCAATGCTAAGATGCTGATGCTTAGCAGGCACAATGTTTACAACGTTCATCATCTTAATGCTGGCATTTGCTAATTAGCACCAAACCATCAAGCATCAAACATCAAGGAGGCGCTCACAAAGTACAGGTGAGGCTGATGTCATTAGTTTTGCAGGTATTTGATCATAAATTAAAGTATTAAACATTTTACAATTTTTCTAACCTGGTGATGATGTTGGATAAAAAGTAATCTTGAGGTGACTGTGTGAATGTGTGTATGAAATATCACTGCATACCATCGACCACCACACTAGCATGGCTTAAAAGTCAGTATGCGTTAAAAAAAAGAAATGCTTGCGTTAACGTAATTGAATTAAGCGTAATTGAAAGAGCGGCTCCTAGATGGAAAGAAAGACTTTAGAAAACACAAATATTACATATTGAAAGATTCCTGTATAGCACGCAGAGAAAATTAGGACACATCAATTATCTCTTGATGAGTGCCTTATTTTGATGACCTCATTTAGATAGACATTAATGATGTCTTAATCACAGCAAAGTTTTTATTCCTCTAATTAGTTGTGACAGACAGATGACCTGCTTTTTATCATCCTGCTTAACATCGGTGCAGAAGAGGTAACAACACTGAGGAGGGACGCGATCTGAAAAGAAAATCTGTAAAATCCAAAATAAAGAGCAGAATTGTGCTTTTTCTTTTCACCTTTTCTGTGACGTGCTTGTTCTTCATCAGGCGTCGTTCATCGAGGCAGGCCACAGCTTCTTCTTGAGGCTAACCTCACTCACATTTACAATTTATTTGAAGCAGTTTATTTGAAATCTGGAGCAGGCACCTTCAGCTCACGTTGGAAGGTGAGTACAGTGTAATTCAAACTTGAATGCCGACCACTTAACCACAGTGAAGAGGATAAGAATGAGTCTCTGGCCTCCTTCAAGTGGTGCTGTTTGTCAGCCGTGGGAGTGTAATGTTAGCCACCTGCAGGAAACAACCTCAATAGATAAAGATCTTACTTATGATTATAACACAGGGTGAAGCTGGAAATTTGGCATGTCAAAATTAGCCAAACTTAATTTATTAACTAATTAATTAAATTCATCCAAACTGTAACTCTTCGCACTGGGCATTGCATAAATACTTGCAACACGTGACATGTATGTGTGCAAGCAACCATCATAATTAGACAGAAAGAGAGAAATTTAAATAGAACTAAAAGATTAATGACATTTGAAAAGAAAAATAAGCAGCTATGGGCTGAAAGAAAACGAAAGTCAGATTTGTTTGTGTGGAGTCACTTCATTCATTCAGGTAGCGTGATGCCAAGTCAAGTAAATCTTCTCTATATATCCCCAAATCACAAATCTGGAATTTAGCATGTTTGGCCCCATTTAATGGTAAGAATTAGAAGAACCCTGAGCAAGAGCAACGGAGGAGGAGTATTTATGTTCCCAGGGCTGTTTTCTGTTGATTGTTATCAAATATGCTCTGATGAACGCTTCTCACAAAAAATGCATCAGCAGATTTGTTAATCTATTGATTGCAACCAAATGCACCCAAACTATTCACACATGACGTAATCCTTTTGCTGTTTTAGGAAATAAAGACAACACATGCTGTACAGAGTAGACAGAAACAACAACAGTGAAATAGAATGATTATTTCAGATCAATAGAGTCAAAATAAATGGATTCACTGGACCTTTGGGGAGAAGTTACGGACATTTTACAGCTTCTTTAGCTTTAATAGCAGGTAATCAATCCCCAGTATTTCTCCAGGGAGGATTTTGTGCCTTCTGTGCAAGTGCTCTCAGTTACACTCAGCTAAGAGGGGTTGTGGCAAGATAAATGTAGAGGATTTCCTGCGTGGCAGAAAAACATAAGCACTTCAAATGAGCAGGTAAACGCCCTCAGATCACCAAAAACAGTGGATCATTGAGGGCAAACATGGCTTGAATGATTGTTTTTACGCCCCTATTCTGCCAAAATCTCACACCTGCGTGTTTCAGTGGTGTAATTACGCAGTTTATACACTCAACAGACTCTGTATCAGTCTGGATGGAATATGGAAACACCAGTTAAACCTGAGGTGAACCTTTGCCGGGACCAGGCTAGTCTGAAAGATACGATTTCCCTGCTATTCGCTTATGCTTGTTTCAACTTGCGAGTTTCCAGAAAGAAAGAAAGAAAGAAAGAAAGAAAGAAAGAAATTTGTTAAACAAGCATGGATTACCTGGTGATGTTCTGCGTGAAATACCCTGCAGGTGCGATGTCTGGTTATTAATCGTCATGTGACTTCAGCTGTGCTACTTTAACCAAGCAGACTTTTCCCAGGTGGTTTGACCAAAGAAAATAAACTGTGTCATCACATCCTTAGATGAGTCCCTGGAGTCGTGTGCCATACTGCTGTTACTCGGATCAAATCACTGTTTTAGTTGTAGTACTGTTTTTTTTTTTTTTGGCTCTTACAAGAAAATTTTCTCTTTTCATAAATTATTAAAAACAAATCTGCTAGATATATTTTGATGTCATTCTGTTGGGTATGTTTCTTTATTTCTATGTACATAAAATATATATATTTGTGTTTTTTTTAGAGAAAGGAAACATCCTTTCCTCTGAAGCGTCTGTGAAGTGACGTCCATTTCTGATAACTTGATCAGCTGGATCAGCTGTCAGTCGGCTCAAACAGATTTAGAGACTTTTGATCAAGTTTGTGTGTGCAGCACACATGTGCACTGTGCTGATACTAATAAAGACTATTATTATTTAAGGCAGCATGTTTTCTCTCTGTGGCTGTTACAAAGGCACATGAAGAACTACCTGCATTCTGCCTGTATACTGTGTCCTGCTCAGAGGCACAGGATCAGTTCTGTTGGTATCAACTTTATATTATTTTAGTTTTTGCTTCTGTATTAATTAATATTCTGATTGTGAATTCATTGTTGAATAACCGAGAATATGATCATGGTGTATTTTAAACATTGGAAATGGTTTATTAGGCTAAATGTTTCAGGGGATATTGATTAATTGATTAATTCAAAGCAGACTCTCAGGAATTATCAGCCTCACATGTGATTGAATGGAAGTGATGATAAATGATGTAAAAAGTGTTTCTTGCTGACAGACAGACTCTCCGACTTTCTCAGATTTTAATTGTCTCCATAATAGAACTTATTGGGGAAATAACAGATCATGAAAAGAAAAATCTTATTAATAAATGAAGAAAGTTGTTTGTGGTCCTTTTGTTGTTCAGACCTACAATGAACACAGATTTTCAACTAGACGCTGAATCAGAAAACAAATCTAATAACACTTGGAGTGAAACACTTGAGTATAATCTGTTATCTGCCTTCACTCCAATCAATAACTGATATCCAATAGCCACAGCCTAGAGCAAGAAGCCAGGAAAAGTCAAATTAGAGACTTGTGAAGTATGCGCTATGCGAGGTAAATTATCAGGGTGTAACCAGAGTAGACAAAACTTGTACCATTCTAAAACACCAGCGATGTAAAACGTGACCACCGTGTATGTTGTTCCAAGTGGAAACAAGATTCCAAACCGCAGCAGTTGTTGATCACTACGAGTCTGCAATCAACTGCAGTAAATAATTTGTCCAGTAGTATGTGACATTAGCTGCAGACACACACACGAGCGTAAAAAATAACAAAGATTCCGTCTTCGACTTCTTCTTTCTAGAGAGCCCGCTGACATTTGCAGCTCATCTGGACAATGTGGTGGAGATAATTAAGGTGCTGAAGAACGGAGGAGCTCACCTGGACTTCAGAGCCAAAGATGGCATGACTGCCCTCCACAAAGCTGCACGCTCCAAAAACCTGGTTACACTCACGGTAAAGCAACCCGCTCTCCTCCGTTTTGGTCTTCACACCTGCTCACATGTGCATTGCTGGATTTGTTGAAGTATAAATCACAATGCAAGTCTGACAAATTCCAGATCATGCTTAGTGATCTCTTTGCAGCATAAGCAACATCAGATTTTGATGCATGCAGACCTGTCACTGAGGTGATAAAGGGATGATGCTTCTGACTGCTCTAGTAAAGTGACGGCTAAAGACGAGAGAGCTTTTCTGTCAGCCCTTCCTGAGGAGCTAAGACAAGCAAAATCTGTTTCTCTTTTAAATCTATCTTAAAGCGCTTTTTTATGTGTGTACTTTTCTTTGTGCGGTTGTCTTTTTTTTATGTTCAATTATCATTTTAAACTTTCATCGTTTTAATATTTTAATCAGTTGTACTTTGTCTTTTGTGATGGATAAAAGCACTCTGTACCATTTGTTTTAATTATTGTTATGATAATTCACACATACCCTTGTCTCTCCTCAGACGCTGCTGGAGTTAGGAGCTTCACCAGACTACAAGGACAGCCGTGGTTTGACTCCTCTGTATCACAGCGTGGTCGTGGGAGGAGACCCGGGCTGCTGCGAGCTCCTGCTGAACCACCATGCTGTCGTCTGCTGCCAGGACGAGAACGGCTGGCATGAAGTTCACCAGGTAAACACGCACACACATGCGCACGAGCGCAGAGGTATTGTTTTTTGGGTTGTTTATTTGCAACAGCTTGTATTGGGAAAGCATTACTAAAGCACACAGCCTTCCCCGGCTGTGGGCGACTGTCTTGGCTCCTGTTACCCGTTGAAGTAGATAAAGCCATTTAAGGAGAGCCACCCTGCAGCAGTGATAAACTGTGTGTGTGTGTGTGTGTGTGTTCTATCTCTCCCTGTCGAGTTGCAAAATCTCCGCCTTCCCCCATCTGTCCCATTTCAGACACCATAGCAATCAGCTGTCAGGCAGGACAGTGAACATCAGGATGGCTGCTGCTAGTTCGGAGTTCAAGGATGTGTTTATTCATTCATAAAATCCTGGAAAACCTTCTCATCCAACACTAGTTTACACAACAATAAAGAAAAACCCCTACTATAACCATAAAATAAAGCTAAAACTTCCTCAGTCTCTCAGCTCTTCTAGATAAAATCAGTTTTACTTGTTTTCCCACCGCCTCCATTAAGAATTCATGTTACACACTAAAAATATATTATGTGTCAGTTTGTCAAGCAAGAAGGCTAGAGTCTACAGCCATGCTAGAGGCTCTGTGAGGCACAGCGGTGACCTAATGCTAAAGTTAGCCTGCTAACGTGCTCACAATGACGGTGCTAACAAGCTGATGCCAAACATGTAGAATGGTCCCCATAATCACCATCTTAATTTAGTGCTAACATTTTCTAATTAGCACTAAGCATAACGTTCATCTTTGGATGATGATGTCATTAGATTTGCAGGTATTTGGTTCCAAACCAAAGTTTTGGACGAAATCGAATGGATTTTCTCAGATTCAGAGAAATCCTCTCTGCCATCACAAATCGGTCATACAAACACGTCTCTACCTAGAAGTCCTTCTAGGTATGAGGTGTTGTTTTACAACACCGACTGATATCTGGAAAAATAAAACGTTAGATATTACACATTTGACTATAATATTAATATATATATATATATATATATATATATATATATATACAATATTATTGCAACAAGAAAATAGATCTTGAAAGTAAAATGTTTTGCCTGGCTGTGCAAATGCTTTTGTAACACAACCCAGTTCCATTGCTTAGAATACTTATAACATGTGTTATGGAACTTTTTTTTTTTTAACCTGCTCCGATTGATAAGCAGCCATTTGGGTTATTGTCATTCATTCGTTCACAAACCTCCCAATCTCTGAAATAAGCTGCAGTGTAAATGGGTCATTTCAAAATGATCCCCTCTTGCACTCAACAGCTAACTTGGCATCTGTCTCCACAACCACTCATTAAAGTCATTTACAGAGGAAATTGGTTCATAAAAGCAATGACTTCCTGCTCAGCCTCAGTTTGTAATTGTCTTTTACACTCTGCCTTGATTGAATTCAATTGTACATTTGTTTAAGTTTTCCCTCGCACTCTTCTACCCTTCCATCTTTGATGACTGGGTTCAAACTGAGGGTACTTCTCATCTTGACATCATCTCCTTTGCAGCACACTGACATCTAGTGTTAAAGGCCTCTTACTGCAACTACTAACCAGTGAAGGTGTTAAAGGCTTTATTTGACTGTGTGTGTGTGTCTCTCTCTCTGCAGGCTTGTCGTCATGGTCATGTGCAGCACCTGGAGCATCTGCTGTTCTATGGAGCAGACATGGGGGCCCAGAATGCCTCGGGAAACACTGCTCTACACATCTGTGCCCTATACAACCAGGTGAGCGGGGGCGCTGTGATTCTGTACTTGATGTGTGTGTAATGTGAAAAGAGAGCACACACCACTATTAGATTGACCTGGCACTATTTTAAGATGGTTTAGCCAAATCTGTTGTAAAAATCAGGAGAAATGTGGAACAACAAGCTGTAAAGGGAAAGGTATGACGATTAAATAAAACTTTTATTCAGACATACTGTAAACTACTGACTAAATCAAAGTGGACATCTTTCTTAAAACGAAAATGCACAGCTGATATAAAAAGGCCCCTCCAGGCTTTCAGACTTTAACCTTTCCTGAGCTTTCTAACCTTCACATTGATCTTTTTTCAAATGTAATTTCTTTTCCTGTGAATAATTTTATTCCAACATATGATTTTCAGTATTTCCATTAGAATAATTTTAATGTATTTGTTGGTTTTGTATTGAAATTGATTATTTTCTATGTGTTTTTGTGGTTTTGTTATCATGTAGAGCCTTTTGTATGCTGCTGTCTTGGCCAGATCATAGACATGGGGCGGCAATATGTTGGGGCTCAACAGCGCGGTATGCAGCATTTTTCATCAATGAAGTAATTTGGAGTGTCTGTCACCTCACTGCACAGCGAGCCGCTAACAGCAGCTTTATGGTCTGAGCAAGCTAGCTGCTGCGTGCTAGTCAACAACATTGCCAAGCAAACTCCTTTTTGTAGTTTGACCGTGTCTTTTTCAGACGTAGCTATATCATCATATATCACCGCAGCAACACGCCAGTGCGGAGCAGAATGGGCGCTGTGGTAACCTTATAACAAAATTTCCACAGAAAACATCGTGAAACACGGCTGCAGGCTTCCGACACACTACGCTCCTTAGTGAGCTTCAAATGAGGCTTACTGTTCAGTTTCTCTGGACTGTCCCTCAGGGTCACAACGTTAGCCCTACGTCCGAGCCTGCTAGCCACATTAGCCGCGCATTATGCTAAGGCCGAGTTAGCTAACCTTTAAAATAAACAGTAAAACAACACAAAACACGGCAACACTTACAGCTTCAGAGTTTTTAGTCGTGTCACGTACAGCCCACGGCGATCCATCCTTCTCGTTAAGGTTGTGGAACTATTGAAGCACTCGTTTATTAATTTAACACGTCCTGAAGTGTACAGTATGAACATTGCGGTTGTTGCGGTGCTTGCCAGCCTCCGCGGTAGGCTTGACCAATATTATATATTGGTATCGGTATTTCAATTTTGCGGTTATGGCGACAGCCCTACATAGATGTCAACGGGTCTTACCTGGTTAAATATATGAGTTAGATAAAAATGAAAAAAAGAGTTTGGGCTCTGAATGTAATAAAGAAGACATTCAACAGGCAGCAGATGACGGTGTTGCCAGTCCTTTTGGATACTGAAACGATTTTTAAGGAAAACAGACATAAGACTGTTACATTTGGGCAACATGCAAAAGTCGAGTATTGGCTGAACACGGTCAGTCATGTGTTGTATTAGCCGACAGGTACCACACCTATTGGATATTACAGAACTGACTGGACGACCTTAAATGCTCCATGCTCACCTTTACTCTCCATGCTGCCGCGTGTTTGCTGCTCTTACTGCAGCGACTCCACCTCTTTCAGTTCTGCTCTGTTTGTACACACCCTGCAGGGTCTTTCTTCTCTTTTCCCACTGTCCTTGCATGTTATGTATCCTGATAATGTATTTGACACTCTAATGCAGGGATCCTGCAGAATTCCCAGTGGTCTGTCTACCTCTAATTGCAAGTTACATTTGAACTATGTGATCGTTTCCTGACGGAGCCTCAGTTAATAGCTAAATAGCTATTCGATGTTGATGTGGAAAATAAACGTCTGTAATATGGCTCAATCTTATATGTGAATTTATATGAAATCGTTTTCTGTTATAAACATAAAAATGTTTTTTACGTTTTTTACATACATTTTTATTTCTGATTTGTTTCTCAACCCAACATTTATTGTTCATAGAAGCCCCATAAGCTTCAACCATATAGCCTCCTCGTGGTACTACTTGTGGTACTACTCGTGGTACTACTTGTGGTACTACTTGGGGTACTTGGGCTAAATTACTAGATCTGCTAGATCGCCTCAGCCACAAAACGTTTTTTTTTGGAAAGGATCCCTACAGGGAGAGACCTTTTGATAAAAAGTAACTAAAGTCTTTTGTCACCCAGTGCGGCTGTGAGGCTAAAAGCTGTGTTTTAATAGTTTCTGGGCATCAATGGAGCATCAGGCTGTGAGACACACACAGGACTTGTTGGTATTCATTGGTAGTTTGGGTATTTTCATGGGATTTGTTGGCAATAAAAAAAAAATCACCAGATCCTTAAAAGTTCAGCGTCTAAGTTATAGTGGCATCTAGTCGTGAGGGTTGCAAATTGCCAGCAACTGCTCACTCACCGCTCACCCCTCCCTTTTCATGCACTCAGGAGAAGCTACAGTGGCCGACACGCTCTGTCGGCTCTTGTGCTAAATAATATGCGTCGTCCTCCATTTGTCCAAATTTCTCTTCTCTTCTTACTTCTAACAAACCAGACTGCTACTAATACTACTACCACATGGCGACCTCCACGTTAGAGGAGCGGCAGTGTAGATAGAAATGTCTAAGCTAATAAAAACATTATTACGGATCATTATGTAAGGTCTTTATACACCACTGAAGACATAGTTATGGATCTTACATTGCATTTCTGTCAATAGATCCTCCTAAATATTACACACTGAACTTTAAGTCAGATCATTCCAAAAGCCATCATTTAAGTCAACAAAACATTTCAGGCTTTGGATGCATAGATAATTTCTTGTTGGTAGGATCAATTCATGGTTGGTTTTGGCGTTTTATTTTTAGTTGATGATAATAGAAATATATAGAATTTATATCATTTAAAGCTGGATGAATCATTGAAGATGGTAATGGTTGCTCCATCTGTGAAACAGAGGGTGGTCATGTAACCTGGATTATTCTGATATTAGGCTGTTATACTGTACGTCTGTAATAAATATGCGCGAGTTCTCCCTCCTCCTTGATAGATGGAGTACTCTGAGAAGATTACAGTGCAGAATGTTGCATAAAAACTTCTGGCGAGAACAGGTGTACATAATAAAGTCCTCTATACTTCCACTGTCATCTTTCTCCATCAGTGATCTACACTCACTAACACAACATGAACTGCACAAGAAAAATCCATTTAAGCCTGAAGTTTCCATGGTGTCCAAGCTGCATCATCCTGGCTTATCGTCAGCATCACGGACATTAGCGAGATGACCTTTCTTATATTTCATCCCTGTCTCTCCAGTCCTTACATTTCTTTTGTTGCTCTGCTTGTAATTATATTCCAAAAGCTAAAACGGCCCTGCTTTAATTCATTGCTCTGACGGATGTCACACATTTCCATTTTGAAGCTTCATTATAAATGTAGCTTCTATAGAAAAAAATATGTCGTGGGATTTCTGCACAACATCCATGAGTAAAAATAACACCACTCATGCATGGCTTAAAATAAAATGTCTAAATGTCTAATCGCAGCAATATTTGTAATGCCAACAACACTGTACAGTTTATGGTTGTCTATCAGTATCTGTGTGAGGCGGTTTTTCAACTCTCAATAGCTTATTGTGGATCTAAAAAAAGTATTTATATTCATGTGTGTGTGCACAGTACATGCGTGGTTGAGCACTTTGTGGGCGATTTGTGCAGTAGATTCAAACCCCTCAGCACTCTCCATCTCTCTGTTCTTCTCTCTCTCTCTCTCTCTCTCTCACTCCCTCTTTCTCTTTGAGTGGAGCAATAGATACACACTTAACAGCGAGTGAAGCTCCATTCCTGATATAGGTAGTAGATGTTCTGTTGTTCTTTTTCTCCTTTCCCTGTGTCAGTGCTGGGATGTTTAGACATTCAGCCACACTGCTGCATCACTTCCTGCTGTACTGACATCTTTTGGGAAATTCTGCTAATGTCACTGGAAGCTAATCAACCTTTTTCCTCAACAAAGTAGGAGAATTAAAGGATTACAGTGTTGCTTTACACATTTTCTGAGCTTTATTTAAATATTTTTGTTCCTCTTTCTGCCCCCAGGATAACTGTGCCAGAGTGCTGCTTGTTCGTGGAGCTGACAAAGAAGTGAAGAACTACAACAGCCAGAGTCCATTTCAGGTAGAGTAATAAAAAAACAAAACAGTCTTGTTCACTGCCATTTGCTTGTAGAGGCTATTATGGGAGATCGATTTCAGCTTTCAGCGTAAAGAAAACATTTTTAGTAGCAGCACATTTTCTTCATCTCATTTGTTACCATAGCAACTGTGCAAAATGGTCAAGGTCAGTTGCAACCAGGGATTGCAAATGTCTTTCTGGCCATTATTAGATTTGTTTCAGTTAAACTGTATTTCGAGGAGAACCAAAAGTGAGCATCAAACCTCAACAGCGTCTGCTTAGCTTGTCTCTGACCGGGTGTCTTTACACACTCAAAACACACTGTGTCATCTGCAAACTGTCAACTTTGAGGAACACAGAAAAAACAGCTGTAGCTGCAATTTTCAGTTCATCCAACTTGTTTCTGGAAGTGTTTTTTTTTTTATAAAGGAGAGCTTGTAGGAAGTGTGTGTAATCCTTTAATTAACTCAAGATTTTAATGTGACAGATTAAAGCAAACCATAATGCTATTATACGTTATTGTACACTTCATGCAATTTCAGACGCACAATTATACTGGAAGTGCTAAAGTTTGAGTGTGCGTTCATAATTATTTGAGCTGGTATTACATGTATGCTTATGATAAGAGTCGATGAGACAGAACTTCATCCCAAGGGAAATCATGATAATAATTCATATTTGAAAGCATGTGTACTTGTATGTTTGTGTTGGTAATGGTTGAAGTGTGTATGCTTCAGCAGCACATCCATCCCAGGGAACAAACCCCAGAAGCAGTGAAAGCTGCATAGCTCAAATGATTGACTCATAACCTACGCCTGAGTTACAAAAGAGCCTTATTCAGGCGGGCGTTTATGAAAGGCAGTCCCACAGGGTCCTCGACTGTCATCCACAGCCACTTCAGTGGAGCGCTTCATTAGCTAGAGCGCTTCATAAAGGGAGTGAGCCCGGGCCGAATGGAGATCACGTCAGGGTGTTAGTCAGCGTTTGAACTGCGTGTTAGGTTTGCAGTCGTGGCCTAGATTTAGCTCTCCGTGTTGATGTTACGTGCAGGGTGGCAGGTGGTGCAGCGGTTAGGACTGTAACCTCACGGGCAAGACGGTTCTGGGTTCTGTTCTTTCTGTGTGGAGCACGTTGGGCCTGCGTGGGTTCTCTCCAGGTGCTCTTGTTTCCTCCCTCAAGTTAATTGGCGACTGAGTGAGGTTCTCATAAACATCACTTACACTGTAGATTTAAGTCTACATTACAAACTCTTTGCTGATGTTGTTTGGTACTGTTTTGTTGTTTTATAGTAGAGGTGGATGACAAATTAGCATAAATTCAGATAAATAATTTTACATGTACTCTCTTATCCCTGTATTTAATGTGGTTTTGATCATGTTTGGGAAATGATGGTTACATGAGGTTATTCCATTGGATACATGATCACAACAGTATTCAGGTTTCTGACCACTGATACATTTACTCGTTTAGCTGATGCTTTTATCCAAAGCAACTTATTGCTATATACACTCACCTGCCACTTTATTATGTACACCTGTTCAATTGCTTGTTAACACAAATAGCTAATCAGGAACTCACGTGACAGCAACTCAATGCATTTAGGCATGTAGACGTGGTCAAGACGACTTGCTGAAGTTCAAGCCGAGCATCAGAACGGGGAAGAAAGGGGATTTAAGAGACTTTGAATGTGGCATGGTTGTTGGTGCCAGACGGGCTGGTCTGAGGATTTCAGAAACTGCTGATTTACTTGAATTTTCACCACAACCATCTCTACGACGAAAATGCCTTGTTGATGTCAGAGGAGAATGGGCAGACTGGTTCCAGATGACAGAAAGGCAACAGTCACTCAAATAACCACTCATTACAACCAAGGCATGCAGAATACCATCTCTGAACGCACAACACGTCCAACCTCGAAGCAGAAGACCACAGCGGGGGCCACTCCTGTCAGCTGAGAACAGCAAACTACCATTCACCAAAACTGGACAACAGAAGATTGGAAAAACGTTGCCTGGTCTGATGAGTCTCCATTTCAGCTGCGACCTCCAGATGGTCGGGTCAGAATGTGGCGTAAACAACATGAAAGCATGGATCCATCCTGCCTCGTATCGACGGTTCAGGCTGCTGGTGCTGGTGTGGTGGTGTGGGGGATATTTTCTCGGCACACTTTGGGCCCCTTAGTACCAACTGAGCATCGTTCAAACGCGACAGCCTCCCTGAGTCTTGCTGACCACGTCCATCCCTTTATGACCACAGCGTACCATCTTCTGATGGCTGCTTCCAGAAGGACAATGCACCGTGTCACAGAGCTCAAACCATCTCAAACTGGTTTCTTGAACATGACAATGAGTTCACTGAAGTCCAATGGCCTCCACAGTCACCAGATCTCTATCCAGCAGAGCCCCTTTAGGATGAGGTGGGACGGGAGATTCTCATCATGGATGTGCAGCCGACAAATCTGCAGCAGCTGCGTGATGCTATCATGTCAGTATGGACCAAAGTCTCTGAGGAAGGTTTCCAACTCCTTGTTGAAAGTATGCCACGAAGAATTAAGGCAGTTTTTGATGGCAAAAGGGGGTCCAACCCAGTACTAGCAAGGTGTACCTAAATAAAGTGGCCAGTGAGTGTATGTCATTAAGTTTCTTGCTCCCACTTTAATCCAGGTCTCGCACACCAAAGGCATGTGTTACCCACCATTGTTGCACTGCAAAATGCATGAAATGTGAGAAATTCAACCTGGCATGTCCAGTTTGAGTAAACGTTTTAGTTTGAAGGCTTATTGTGCACCAAAACACTGCACAGAGTAACTTTTCTAACAAATCCATGTCAATAATTGTCAATATTTTTTTTACTGTGGTAGAATGGTAGAAAGACAGCGTTCACATTACAAAGTAATCTACCAGCAGTGCTTCCATGTATTCGATTGGGCAAGATGACAATCATCATATGAGAATCATGTGGCCTCCAGATCTCAAACCAACTGAACACCCACGATGTGAGCGACGTGTTAGACAGCGCTCTCCACCAAACACCAAATGTGGGAATATGTTTTCTAAGGATGGTGTCCATCCCTCCACTGGAGCTCAGGGAATTAGAGAATCTCTGACAAGGAGGGTTGAAGCTATTCTGGAGGTTCATTGATGCCTTATTAAGACACTTTTTGTTGGTTTCCCCTTTTATTAGTCACCCACTCAATTTGGCAAATGCGTTACATACCGTGTAGAATAATCAATTTATGCTCATTGCAGTAAGTCTTAGTCCACTTGTGCAGAACATTACAGTACACTAGTATAGCACTACCAGGATAATATAATCTTATTATAGTTATACTAAAAAAAGCAAGTATTACTGCTCTTTTTAATCTGTTCAACAGTTACAGGAAATGGTTTAACTCCTTCAGAATTACAGTGCAAGGGATGCTTTCTACAGCCAACATTTTGTCCAAGCTTTCAACAAACAGACAGGGAGAAATCTGTTGTAAAAGAGACAAACAGCAGTTCTTCTACTGACAGTACCCTCAACATCAGAACAACAAGCAGCCACTAGACACGCTGTGGACGCTCACTTGTTTTCGAGTGGAAAAACTCGCTCTTCTGCTCTTACTATCTTTATCTCTGTTGCACTCTCCACCTACACATGGAGCCAAGAGCTGAATCCAACAAGTTTATGCCTGTTTTCTGAGTGGCCTGCATTCTTGGAAATGTAGGAATCAGTAGCTGAAGTAGATGAAAGAAGAACAGATTGGTGCATCAAAACAAACTACAAATTACAACATGTAAACTACACAACACATGTTCACCCAAACATTCCACCTATGTGTTATTCTTGAACATGTGATTCCAAAACCACCGGCTCTAATCTTCTACTACAACATCTTCCACTCTCCTACTTTCAGGTTCTTCACCAGATTTTGGAACCTGGCTGCAGGAATTTATCATTCAGGCACAAGAGCATTATTTAGGTCCAACGCTGTTGCTGTGAGATAAGGTCTGGCTCACAGTTGGCGTTCCAGTTCACCCTAGAAGCGTTGGATTGGGTTGTGGTCATGACTCCACGCAGGGCAGTCACTAGAAAAGTCATTTCTTTACAAAGCTGGCTCTGTGCGCGGGGGCATTGTGATGTTGAAACAGGAAAGAGACAAACACAAAACAAAGTACATCACTGTATGTTTTAGCATTAAGATTTCCCTTTCCTAAACTAGGAGACCCACACTTAAAGTATAAAGGCCATGAAGTGTTTTAGCCAGGTTCTTTTGTGCTTTTTGGACGAGTCATTGTCTAACTGAGTAGCCTCCAAAGCAGCAGGAAGGATAAATATGTGTTGTTCTAAATAACATCATGCTAGTTGTTGTTTACTAGATAGCCAAACATTTATGGAAAACCATGTCCACATACTTTTGTCATTTCATCTTTGCTAGTGATGCAGGTGGGAGCAATTGCAGTAGGTTCTCATTAAGGTTTTGCTAATGATTAGTCCCTCTTTATACAGTATATTTGTGGCTCTTTATTTGTGCATGTAGTTTTACCAAGTCTTATAATCTCCAGAGAGAGGGGGCACTCTGTATGCTTGTCAATTCAACAGAGGAAACTGCCTGAAAACACCATTATTAGGAGCCAACAACTGGAAAGTGCAAATGCTAATAAACAGCGATTGCCACAGCTGAATGAAGCACGCTTATGTTGTGCCGCTGCGTGTGCTCCTAATTAGGGCACTGTGTGGGAGTGTGGCCATGCCATTTGATAATATCATGTGTCAGTTCACTGTCTGACTGTGTGTGTGTGTGTGTGTGTGTGTCACAGCTTAGCCTGATAACCATTGTTGCATACAACAAAAGGAAAAGAATTTGAGCTGAAGCACTGAAAACTCCCATCATCCTCTCGGAGTGCCCGGTTCTTCAGATAGAGAGAGGGCTTTCAAAGAGATAAAAATTCACTTTTCTTTATTTAACAATCCCCTTCAATAATTTCCCACATCCTCTCCGCTTCCTTTAACGTGTCTTTGCT